AGACCTTGGTGATGTTTCCCTGAGTCTGGTCACTTGAGAAAATCACTTTAGGACCAGGCTGGAGTGTGGGCAGCAGCACAGGATGTTCTTGTACAATTTGGTGCAAAGGAGTTTGGTGGTCATTCTCAAGCAATAGGGCTGTTGCTGTCATCACCTGAATAATCTGACCCTCTGAAACCCTTGATTGTCAAGCTTTCAAGCATCTGCTCTAAGTTTGTGCTGTTTTGGAGGTGGGTTTTTTTTGCTAGCTCTAAATATTGTGAAGAGAGTGAGGTGACAAATCCTAATGGAAATGCTTTGAATCATCTGCATGATGTAGGGTAATAGTGTATCATACTTTTGCTGTGCAGCTGCACACTTCCCTGAATCTCGTATGTAATTCTCAAATTTGCTGATATTTAGGTGTCCATGAAATAACTTCAAAGTTAATTTTGAGAGACTGATTGACATTTTCTAAAGGCAAGGCCACTCTAAAGTCTTGCTATGCCTAAAATTCATTTCAAGAATTAACGGAACTTAGGATAATGCCATTTAGGAGAACCTGGGAGTGACTTTTTCCAATGATCCTGTAGCAACACGATAAAGTATTTGTGTGAGATCAAGGAGCTCCAAGAATAAAGTTGCTATACAATGCACTTTCCCTAGTGATAAATTTGTACCTTATAACGTGTTATAAACACAATTCAGCAGAGGCAGACACACCTGCCCTTGTTTTAGTGAGTTATGAGTTGTCTGAAGTCCTGTCCTCATCTAGTTGTTAATATTTACAAAGAATCTGTGGGCTGATAAGCTTCTATGCTGTAGTCCACTATATGGCTTTTGCTGCTGGGTGTGTTGCTTGCTCTTCATGTTTTGTTACTCTCATTAACCACATTTTACTCCATCTAAGCTCTTACCTGCTTTAGCAAGGGGCATAAGCTGGTTTTTGACAGTAGGTGCAGGGAAACCTATTGACAAATGGTCCCAATTAGCACAGTTCTGTAAATCTTTGCCTGGCAGGGAGTGTTGTATCATTCCATTACAAGCTGTCAAGATGCACTTTCTGGCGGCATAAATATGTAACTCTTCTTTAATTTTCAGTAATGTGCTCTAGGAAGAGCATGCCATGATAGCCTGGCTTGGTTCCTTCATGGATTTCTGGTGGGGATTTTAGCAGGATGCCTGAAATCTCACTGTAACATCAGCAGGTTGTAGGAAGCTCATGAGATTGGTCCTGATTTGCTGCTGGAGTTTCAAAGTGGGAAGTCCTATTGATAGTATGGTACATGATTAAATAATGTTAGTGGATATTTTAGAATCAAGCTCCCTCTCCATAGAGCTAGCACTGATGAGCAGGGCATGCTGGGGACAGCATCTTACCCAACATTTAATCATGTTGGGACAGAGAATTAATGATGGGCAGTACCAGGAGTGCAAGTTGAGGTTTGGTGTGAGGAGGCTCTGATGCAGGTTTTCATTATTTCCATTTGCATTGCCCAGATTGATTCAAGTTCTACTTTGTATCTGCCAGAGAGAAAACTCCTGTTCAGAGGGTGGAATAGGAAGGAAGGGTCTGTCTGCTGCTTTTGTTTAATTCTTCTCCATAGTGGAAAAATACTTGATTTGAGAGTTTCCTATATTCTCCTCCTGTGGAATAAACAAACCTTTTGCCAAAAAAATGTTCAGTCCCATTGACTCTGGGCAGTTTATGTATTGAAATGATGCCAAAAACCACCAGTCCAGAAACCCCCTCTGTAGCAGGGGTCAGATTAAATGCAAGTTGGGCCTCCCTATCCCGACAGCCACGTTCCTCCTCCTGGTGGGAACCCACCATGGACGTGCCAGATACAGCACTGGGTGTTTGGCTGGCAGATAATGGGGATGATGGGACATCTGGAGCCGAGGCTGTCTGCCCTGGGATTGCTGTATCACCTCGTGGTCCTTGTGAAACCAAACAGGAACAGGTCATAATTCAAACCGCCGCTCCTGCTATCGGGAGTTGTCACCTCTGGGGAACAGCTGGGTCTCAGAGGGCTTGGGAAAGTGATTCTGAAGGTCAAGGGGAGACTTGCTTGGTGCAGATGAAGTGATAATGGACTCTGTGGAAGAGGGGGAGGATCATTTGAGGCTTTTATTATCCCTGAAGCCGTGAATCATCCCAAACGCTAATCCTGGGGCGTGCAGTCAGCAGATCCAGGCTGCTGCGTGCCAGCCTGCACTGTCTGAAGGCATCCAGCATGCAAGGAGCTGTGCCCTGTCTCTCCCAGGTCTTCTACATTTTTCTAGGATTGTTTCATGCTTGATCTTACAATTATGCAGGGGAAAAAAATCCTCATGTTGCTTCCCAGAGAGTTTCAGGCCTTATAAGTCCATTTGGATGGACTTCTCCCAGTGCTTGTGGATGGGATGGTGTCTGAACCTCAGGGTGTGAGGTTGGGTCCTGCGAGGAAGACAAGTCCCAGGAGCCAATTTTGCCTCATAAAATCAGTGTTACTGCGAGAAATTGGATGGGTTTGTAGGTTGGCAGAAGAAGAGAGAAGGCCCAGCTCTGCTGTAAGCTGTCACGGCTCCGTGGCCTCTGCCTGCTGACAGTCTGCAGCAGGGCTGTGGTTCTGGGTCACTGCTGCAGGGACGTGCCCCCTGTCATGGCACAGACGTGGTGACAGCCCTTTGATCACTGCGTGTCCCAGCTCAGAGCCCACAGGCCCTGCTTGGAGGCGGCTTTGCTGGCGGGGCCTCAAAATTTAAATTCAGTGGTAGATGTTTTCATATTGATGAGCTGCAACTCATCACTCAAGCCTAACTAGCACCCTCTTTTTGGCATTGGTGAGGATAAAGTTGTTACTTAGCCACGTCTAGAGAGGCAAGGGGCCCAAAAACCAAACAGAGGAGTGAGGGGCCCAAACAGGAAGGCGAGTAGCGCAGCTGGAGGCCACAAATGTTGCAGAAGGTGGCATTTCAGAGCATGGGAGATGCAGCTGCCAGGATTTGTGGCATTTCTGCAGACTGTCAGTGATGGGGAGGCTCCTGGCCCTGTAGTGGTTGGGGGAGGAGAGTTTGGGACCTCTCCACCCGTGTGTAGTGGTGACAGCTGGGTGTCAGCTGTCCCCTGCTCTGCCAGAGCTCAGCCCTGGCCTCCCAGCATCAGCCTCCTTGCTGCCTCAGCCCTTAAAACCAGGCTACTAAATAGGGGTTTAATGACCACCCATTAAACCTCTGATAATGAATATGGTGGGGCTGAGAATCTACATTTACAGAAACAGCCCTTTTGTTTGGTAAAAATGAGCTATTTTGTTAGTACTTCCTTCCAAAACCTCTCCTACTTCACTGTAGTTCCTTGCCAACTCTGCCTGCTAGAGCAGCCATTGCAGTGATAAATCAGGTTTAAAAATAGGAGGAGAATTATGGTTTAATTATCAATTATCCTGTGAGTCCATGATTGAAGTTGGACGGGACCTTGGAGGGCCAAGCCATCCAGCTTTAAGAAGTTCAGGCCACGTTGTATTTTGTTGGTGGTGGTGGTTGTTGTTTTGGTCTTTGGCGGGGGGGAGTTTTGTGTGGGTTTTTTGGTTTTTTTTTTTATTCTTTGCTCTGGTTTCTGAGGCCTCAGAGGAGCATGCTCTGTGTCTGCATTTTCATGTGACCCTACAAACCCCTGGTAATCTACCTTCTCTCTGCAAGCCAAGATGTCCTGCAGCCTTTTGATCCCATCAAAATGGGCTTGCAAGGGGTAAATAAAACTCTGCTTTTGTGAGCATTGGCTGTATTTGAGTGCTGGAAGGAGAGATCCTGATTTTCAATCCAGCTGTCCCCGTTTGTGGCACTTGGGTGCTGGCCAGCTTGCAAAGAAAAATGGATATTCCTGGCAGAAGAGTGCAGCAGCCAGCACTCCTCGGTGCTAATTGACCCCTTCTTGGCAGCTTCATCAAAGAAGTTGAAGAATAAATAGGCTGTTGATTGAACTGTTTCCTTGTCCCCAGAGGTGGTCCCCCTTACTCAGGGCTGAGGCTCATTGTCAAGGCTGGGGAAGAGCCTTGCAGAGCGATTAGCCTGTGCTCCCCAGGAACAAAAAAACCTTTCATCTCCTGCGTTTTCCATGTGGCATCTGGAAGATGGAATCGTGGGTGGGGGGGTTGCTGTGTCCTCCGTGTGCAGAGCTCCATCCTCAGTGCCCATGGCAAAGGGGGACATCGCTCTGATGAAAACTCTTAACAGCTCAATCTGACGAGAAAAGAGGTTGGGAGCAGGAAAACACCTTCAAGGAAAGCCTGGACAAAGTTGAATCAGATGCTGATGGACATGACTGGTGCATTCTTTGCATAGAAAAGTCATGTTGGTGCTTGCTGGTGCTGCTGCAAAGGCACGCAGAAATCGTGCTGAAATGGGGCGTGCAGGTTTCAGCTGATTAATTAATGGACCATGTGAGGAGAAAATATGAACCATTTTACTGACGCCTGTGAATAGTTTTAAAATATTCTGCCGGAGTTTTGTCGTGACAAATTGCATTCACATACTCCAGTCTCCCTGCATTTCATTTTGGGTTGGGCCTAGAGTCCAGAATATTTGAACTTTCTGTACTGGGCACTTCAGGAGAACTGTTTTCACTGAAAATGTTTTAAAGCCTATGAAACCCTTTGTTTTGAATCAGATCACTGTTAAACTTCTGTGATTTAACAAATACCACGCTGCTTCATGAAATGTATTGTTAAAGACAGAGCAAAACTTAGCACTACAAATCTTACTTTTGGGCTTTCCTGCAGCTGTTTCAGGGCTCACTCTGCACTCAGCAAATAGAGTAAGGGTGTGCAGAATAAATATTGATACGGTGGTGGCCTGAGCATCACGTGTGTGTATAATGAGCATGACACCATATCCATCACTGTCATGTGAGAGGGCATCTAGAGTTACGTTGCTATGACAGCCTGACATGGGGCAGCAAATACAGCCCTTCCTTCTGCCCAAACTAATGAGTCCATCTCTGATTCACCAGCACTGACTCTGGGCCATTTTTGTTTTTTCAGTGATGAGAACACTAGAAAAGACTTGAAGACACTGCCTGTCTTTCCTACCAAGACACTGCAGGAGCATCCATCACTTGCTTACTGGTGAGCTGTTTAATTTAAAATGTAAATCTTTCCTATGAATGGTAACAACAATATCACTTTTAAGCAGTTTGCAAACTCCTCTAAAAGTTTTCAGCCCAGGACATGGAGCTAATTGCTCATGTTCAAGCATTTCCAGTTTTTAGAAGATTATAAATTATGCAAGATCTGATGCAAATTCCTCCTTGAAAGTTTGCTCAAATTAAATTGCTGTGTCAGGAACTGCTGGATCAGTGTATGTGGGGACCCTGCAATCGAAGGAGCTGAAGTCTGAACTCCAGCCAAGGCTGGGTTTGCAGAGAGCACCTCAGTCTTCATCTGTCACACAGTGGAGCCTTTGTGGTGGGCTGACCTTTGCTGGCTGCCAGCTGCCCACCCAGCTCCTCTCGACAGGACAGGGGAAAAAAATAATCTAGAAGGGCTGGAAAGAGTAAGACACTTCCAATTCTGGGGCTTGAATTTGCTGTAAAGGAACACAGCGTTTAGGATGAATCAGTGATATTGTTTCCATGGAATTTATGCCCTTTGTGCAAATTCAACCTCCTCATTTGTTTTGGTTTTTTTTAGGCTTGATGTGTACGTGACGGATTTTCAAGTGTACCATGCTTGCTTATTATTTGTTTGTCTCTGAATGAATACTGCTGGGGTTTTCTTTGCTTTCAAGTGTCTGACACAGAAATGCATATTTTATTTCACATTCCTCCAAAACAAAATGTTGAAATATGTAAGAGGAAAAATGCAAAAAGGTCATTGCTGAAAAATGTGTGGTTTTTTTCACCTATGAAATGTCAGGGGGAGAAAAGAAATGGGAATGAAAACAGCTCTGGTTGAACTTCTTCTGTCTTACATATGGAGCATTAACCAGCCTTTGAAGTTTGGGTCCTTTAGAACATTAAGATGAATTTACACAATTAGCACCATTCTTCTGCAGCAGCATCTGCAGCAGAACAGGCTGATCCGAAATGGTTCATTAATTGGTCTGGAAGGCAGGATGTGATGGTGGGGATCAGCCAGGCAGCTCCACTCTGCCTAATGAAGGGTGGGAAAAGAAATCAGCAAGAACCAGAATTTAAACTAGAGCAAGAAACATGCAGGGGGACCTTTCTCTGCATGCTGAGCAGGTGGCTGAGCTTCAACAGATGCCGTCACACATGAACAAAGTCACTGAGCCTCTAAATTGGGTTTTGTGCTTGGTTTGCAGTGAGGACAGAGTAATTGAGCATTATACACAAATCAAAGGTCTGACCAGAGGACAAGCCATTGTTCAGTGAGTATGACACTTGTTAATTTGTGAAGATGGTATTTTTACTTTTCTCCTGTTCTTTTTGGTTGAGAAGTGGCAAGGCAGACTGTTTGGGTCATTATAGCCTGCAAACGATGTCGTTTGTATCTGTCAGATTCTCTTTTTATTGAGTTACATTGCAAAGTGGAATTATTTGAAATCTCTCATTTCACAGGCTTGCAGTTCAGCATTTGTGTAGTCGTTTGGGTACCTCAAAGACAAAAGAAATTGTTTGGATCTTACTTCATGGGAAGACTCCTTCCATACCTTGCTTGCCATCAATTAATTTTCATTCCAAATCCTTAAGGGTGCATATTACCCTAAGTCCTGTAAGAAATTCTGAAGTGTTCAGAATTTGGCTTTCAAAACATCAAGGTCTTCCAAGCTGCTCACTGAGCCTGTGGAATTGTATTTTTCATTTACATTAATATTTACTGTTCTTCCTACAAGCAGGCAGTAGGATGTGTTATGAGATGTTTGAGATGATGGCCATGACTGCACAGTGCAGACTCCTTGCAGTTTTTCTCATGTACCTCAATGCCTGTAAATCTGTCTGAATAATTTGTGGTCTTTTTTCAGTAGAAACAAGGGAAAAATGGTCTGTTCAGTGGTTTTCTGAATTGCCTCATGAAACAGTTGTACAATGGCATAAACATATTCATTTGGAGCCTATCATTTGTAACCATAGCTTCATAATGGAATAATTATAGGCAGGTCTTTACTGCCAACATTTCCCAAAAGGCTCACATGTTCAGTACAGAATTTTTGCCTTCAGTTCTATGATCTTCAGATTGAATTTTCTGTTGTATGAGAGATTTTCCTTTTGCTTTAGCTGGGCCAAAATACCCCATCTTTCCCCAAGCCAAGATGCTAAGTTTTTTCTGAAAATATGGGCCTTCAGCTATTACAGCCTTCAAAATATGCAGATGATAAATGACGTGTCCTGGATGTATGTGTGAAAAAAATATGTTAATAGATATTACTTCCTCCAGAGAAAATAATCTGATATGCTATAAATCTGTCTGCAGGTACATGAAAGTGGTAGAAGCTTTGCCAACATATGGAGTTCATTACTATGGAGTAAAGGTCAGTAACTGACTATAGATAATGTGATTGCTGAGCTTATTATGAGGGATTGCATTCCTAAAGGAGCAGTTGGATGATTCAGTGCCCTTCTATCAGTATGGAACCCCACATTTTTCAACCTCTATAATTTTTCCCAATTCAATGTGCTTTAAAAATTGTTTCCAGAAAGCAGAAAGGAATCTTTGTAAAACCTTATGTAATCCTATCAGGAGCTAAATTCCTATCATCTTAATTAAAGTGGATATCACTTCTAGACTTGAAACAGTTAATAGTTTCCCCAGAGACATTAATCAAGATTAGAAAAATAGAATGTGGAAAAGACTCCTCCTAAGTGGCAGGTGATTAGTGGTGTGTGCTTGGAGTGGGGAAATGCTGAGAAATACTTTTGGAGAGTGATGGAAATACACCATTTATTCCCACTTGTAGAGCAGAGCCGGGGCCAAAGTGTTTTGTGCCGAAGAGCTCAGCAGAGATGATGTCTCCTTGTTTTTGAGTCATGGCCATGACTGTGGTACCTGAGAAGCTGATGTTTTGTGCTGGTGTCTGTGGCTGTCCGTGCCTGAATTTAGTGGATGCAGTCATTGGCCACAGTTGTTTTCTGTCCCCTGTCCTTCCCCTTCACAGTGACACCCCGTTGTTTCAGCAGCACTGTCGCTTTTCCGCCCACGTTGCACAGCCACCACCTGGGTTTGTGCCTTTGCCTCAGAAGGCAGAGGGAGAAAGTTTCCACCTTCACCCCAGCAATCCACTTCACCTCAATTTGTTTGCCAGAAAATCCTTGTTCCGTACCGACTTGTACTTGTCACAGAGTGAAACGAGCTGTAGTCTTGGAATTGCCTAATTCTTAAGTAGCTCTTGGTTGACGTAGACATCCATTTTTCAGGATAAACAAGGAATCCCGTGGTGGCTTGGAATAAGTTACAAAGGAATTGGCCAGTACGACTTACAAGACAAAGTTAAGCCCAGAAAAGTAAGTTTTTTTGGGGGAACATGGTGTGGTGTTGCATGTCAGAATATACTCTTTCAAGCTGTTGCTTATTAGACTGGTGGGCAAAAGACCAAAGGCTGGAGGCAGAAGGAGATTTCTGCTGGCACTGAGGCAGTAAATCCTTCCCCCTCCTAGATAGTGGAAACTCCCTTTGGGAGCTTTGGCTCGTGTGTCTTGAGTTTGGTGGTCTCAGGACGGGGATTTTGGCAGCCCCCAGGGATAAGTACAGAAATATGAAGCGGTTGTGTTTCTACAAGGCCTTGTACTCGGGCAGTGTTTTCACTTCACTTTTGTAGGTGTGGTTTTTTTTGTGCCTGAAGCATAAAAGGCTCCACTGACACAGGGAGAATACAAGGGAAGCTGCGTGAAATTGAAGGCTTGTTGAAGTGTGTGTTTCCATGAATTCTGAGGGGGAATTGAGAATAAATGCCAAGTACTGGAGGTCATTCTCCTTCTCCAACCCGCTGCTTCCCAGAGTGTCTTCATTGAAACATCTAAGCCATGAGGGGATGGAGACTTGGGAGTTTGCTGTTCTTCTTTCCCCAGGAGTGATCTGGGCAGGAGTTCACATAAAGTTGTGCTCCCCGCCAGGGAATTTTTACATTTACAAAATGATATTGTTTAATGTATTGGTGCCAAAAAGCACAGCTTAACAAAACTTCCTTGTTAAAGAGTAATCCCCCTATTCAAGCTTCCAACTTGATCTTCTCTTTTTCCAGAGCAGGCTATGACTTGGTTTCTTTTGGTGTATTTATGTACCTGTGTGTCCATGGGTGAGCTCTCATGTCCTTCCTTTGCTTTGTTTAGTAAAATACAGAGTTTTATCCCAGGTGTCTCTTCCCATGCCTACACTAAAAGTAACACAGGAGGAACCCTTTGTAAATCAAGTCAACTTGATGAAGCTATTAAATGTCAAAGGAGAACATCAAGGAGGTCCTCTTGCCCTTATAAGCACTTCCCTGATTTTAGGCGACCTCTATAAGATTTTTCCAGCCAGGAAAAGATCGTTCTGCAGCCAAGATGTCCAGCTGTGACCAGCAATGCTGTCCAAGAAAATGGAGCCTGCCTGGCTGAAAGCATTGCTTCGCCAAGCATTTTTTATGCTTGTGGGATTTCAGTTTACAACATCAACCAGGCAGATTAAGAAAATGTTTTAAGGTCAGCAGGGCCCAGATACCAAGTCACACCCTGCTACAGTTAGTTACGAGGCGTTGTCTTTGAATTCAGCAGGAGCTGTGTTTAAGAAAAATAAAATAAAAACCAGAGGTCATCTCTGCAGTGGAAGCATTACAATGGAAATGAGAATAGTTGTTGGCTTCACTGAAATTATAATTATACAACAGAGGATAGAGATTTAAAGGGAAGAGTGAGAGAGAGGAGCCTAAATGCAGGTGGAAGGTTTAATTACAGTAAGCTCATTGAAAATGTGGGGATGGATATGGTTGTAGTATCCTTAAGGGTTTTCCTGGAGTCAGTGAAAAGGGACAAAAATTCTGTAAACCACAGCTTGTCCTGAGCCATGATTGCCTTTAACAATCATGGTAATACACAGACAGTTTCTTTGTATGAAAAATGTTTCATGGTTTGAAATACAAGGTGCACTTTGGGTAAGTGATTGGAATCAGATCACTTTTGTGAGGAAAAGCAGACATCAGGTCTAGAGGGGCACCCACACCCGGACTTGGGTTTGGAGTTAAAATGCTGAGACACTGCTGCTTATTTCAGTGTATCTACAGCCCTCCTGCCTGTGGTGCAGCAGGCAGAAGTTCCTTTGTTCCAGTGTTGTTGTTTCTTCATATTTATGAATGTATCAGAATTTATTTCAGAGAGAGAAGAGTATGGACAGCTTGCCTGAATCTCCCAGGAGTCTCTCTGGAGCAGCAGGCAGGAGGGGAGTAGGCATGTAAACTATTCCTGTCTTTTGGAGCAGCAGTACTAGTTTTGCTGGATTTAGCAGAATTTTCTTGCTTTGCGGGAATGGAGCCAAACTCACAACTGCCATGTGCTGGTGTTATCCAGCTGTTTATTCCATGGATCAAAACTGCTGTTGTGTTTATCCCCAGCCATCTGGGAAAGAGCATCCTCATTGTGCTTCACTTCTCCAGTTAGTGATGTTTAAATATACATGCAGCTGATAGATAAATAGAGAATAATAAGATGGAAAGGCTGAGTCCAAGTCTAACGAAAACCGAGTTGGCCTTCCTGAATTTTAAAGCTACAAGGGATCTCTGAGTGTGCAAACCTCTCTGACGCTGGTTGTGGTGGGAAAGCTGCAGCAGTTTGGATGGGAAGCTTTTAATAGGAATTGCTGCCTGTGCCACAGTGAATTCACACCAGGGGGATTTATTCTGCTCCCCTTGTCTTTTCTGCAGTGACATCAGATGTTTTTGCTTCACCATAGAATCACAGGCATCTTGCAAGAGCCAAGTCCATATTTAGAATAAAATTTTACTGTTAATAATAGAAATAAATACATGTTAGCTGCACCCATTAATGGAGGATCAGTTAAATCCTAAGAAATATAACCACCCTCTTAAAAAAGTGAAACCTTTTGGCTTTATCCAAGTAGGTCTTCAGGCAAAGACACCTAAATACAAGCCTTGGAGCGCAGTGGTTATCCCAAGATTTTGTTATTGGATCAACACCAGTGCATGGAGTCCAAGGCTGAGAGCTCCTCACAGGAAGGAACTTGCAGCAGAGGCCTGGGTGAAGCAATCCCCTGATCCCTATCACCCAGCCCTGCCAGGGCTGCAGCGTCACCGTCCGTGAGGGCAGCCCGGTGTGTGACTCGGGGCTGGACCTGGAGAACCTGCCCTGGCTGGCTGGCTGGGGAGGTTTGGCTCCAGCTATTAATATTTTGCTGGTTGACCTGAGACGGTTTGGACAAGGGAGTTTTGTCGCTCCAAGTCACTCCTGGGAGCTTGTATTGCTTTGGGAGCAGTTTCTAGAAAAGCCCCAATGTTCCCTGTCACCCAGGACTGCCAGCTGAGGCACTGAGGGAAGCACTGTGCTCCAGCTCCCTAACACACTGAAAAGGGAGAATTATTTTGTGTGTCATTTATGAAAATTGTCTTTGTAGATAAAAGCAGTGGCTCCACACTGGCTGGAGGTTATACTGAGCTCACTTGATTATCATCCTGAAGTCTCACAGGGCATTAAAACAGACTTTGGCAACCCTTGTTCAGATTTGAGCTCAGATCTGGGATTAGCTCTGCAGTCCTGCTGCTTTGCAAACATATTCTCTTTCAGTTGCAGTTAATATTGAGAGTCACCTCCTGCTTGGAGGAGTGCCTCCTGCTTGGTGTGAGGTGGCATGCCAAGATCCTGTCCCCAGTATCCTCTGAATCAATTAGGAAAAGTATAAAACAGGTCCCAGGACTTTATTTGTCAATTCAAGCCAGAATAGATCTCCCTTTATCTCTACCCCATTCTTCTCACTGGTGAGGTAAACAATGTAAGTCTTGTTAGTGGAGGGTGTATTAAGGCATGAGTTGAGTTTATTCTGCGTTCAGCCAATATGTGAGGATCCTCTGAGGGCTGGAGAAGGCAGCTTGCTGGCTCTTTGACTTGTTCTCCCACTTCATTGTGTTTCTGTGGGCGACTCCCTCGTGATAAATTAACTGTGTTATCTGAAGAGAAGAACTAATCTTGCTGTGGTATTGTTTCAAATGTCCAAGAATATAATTTCTGCTGTTTGATGTCTTGACTGCATTGTGTTCTCAGAAGTGTTTTTGTTAGCATATACTCGTTTTGAAATAGGGAACATTGAACTCAGGATGGTGTGGGCTGGAAGGAGCCTGAAAGATCATCTCATTTCAACCCTCCTACTGTGCCAGGGACACCTTCCACTGTCCCAGGCTGCTCCAAGCCCTGTCCAGCCTGGCCTTGGACACTCCCAGGGATCCAGGGGCAGCCACAGCTGCTCTGGGTACCTTGTGCCAGGGCCTCATCACCTTCACAATATCCCTAGCTGGATTTAATACTTTCAGGGCTTTAGCCTTCCAAACCTCACCCCTGGCTGCTCAGACAATTTCTGTGTGTTTCTGCCACCCTCTGTAGGGGTCTTTTTGTGACTGAGTTTGTCCAGGAGCTCTTTGTTCATCCTTGCAAGCACCCTGAAACTTTTGCATGACTTTCTCTTTGTTGGGATGCATTGCTCCTGAGCTGTGAGGAGGAGGCATTATGATATTTTCTTAATTCAGCATATGCTAAGAGTTGATGCTGAAAGTTTTCCCTTGCAGAACATTTACTTCATGCAAATTTGCTGTCCTGCTTTGCTGAATATTCAGAACACAGCAGCATTGGAACAGCCTTCTCAGCAGGCAGCTCTAATTAGGCAGAGATTTCTTTTATGGTGTTTATTTCTCACCAAGCCATTGATTTAGATAGAAGATACTAAGCTCACATAATTACTTTAAAAAAAAAAAACAACACAGAGTTTTTATGAGGCTGCTCTGAAATTCAGATCTTTCCAGATGTGCAAAAAGTTGCTTGAACGTCACCTGCTGCAAAACACAAATGTTTTGGGGCAGTTTGATGTGAGACATCTCTGTCTCATAATGCCAGTGCTAGTGAGGACCAGGCATAAAAGCATCATAAGGTATTAGAAAAATATATCATTGAAGAGGTTTTTAAAGGACTGGCTTAATATTTAAGAGATGAAGGATGCCTGCAGGTGAGCTCTGCCGAGTTACGCTGGCACAGGTGGGAGCTGTCTGTCTCCTTCCCTCAGAAGTTGCTGCAGGTGGGGCAGTTTGGCTCTGCTGCCATCTCCTCAGGTGCCTCTCTCCATGAGCAGCAGTGAAACACAGGATTCCAGCTGAAGGCAGGGTGCCAGACAGCTGAGTGCAGCAGAGGGGCTGAAACACAGCCTGCTCCCAGCGCTGCTGCCAGGGTGGTAATTTCCCTCATGGGGTGGGGTGCATTCCTGTGGGCAGAAATCTTTTATGTTTCCTTGCTGTGAATTGCCAGATTTGTCTGCAGATTGCTGTTCCCAGCCAGTTCCTGAGGTGCTGGTTGCTGAGCCTCCTTGCAGGCACTGCACGTACCACGAGGTGCTTTGGAATTGCTTCCCGAGGGAAAAGCTGCTGCAAACACTGTGGCATGGCTTGCACTTCCATGCTGACCTTACCCAAAGACCCTTTGGGTGGAAAGCCAGGGATTTGGGTAATTTAGCTATTGGTCAGAATATGTCACTAACTCCCAGGTGCATTTCTGGCCCATGGGCTGGTGCAGCAGCATGTGGCCACACTGCCCCTGCACTCAGCTGCTCTCCACATTTACACCTCGTTGCAAAAAAAAAAAATCTGTAAAAAAATACTAAAATATCATTTTTTAAACAAAATCCATCAGGCTCACAGCAATACTGACTCAGGAGCCTGAGCAGCTCTCCTGCAGGTCTCTTTGGGCAGGGTCTCTGCCAGCTCCTGCCTGCCATCCTGACAGGGCCGTTCTGAGCCAGCTTGCTCCTGCTGTCAGGCTGGGACAAACTTGCATTTTATTCAAAACTGGATGCAAGATCAGCCAGGGGGAAAACCAGCTGCTGCTTTTAAGGTGTTTGAACATTTAGGCATGCAGTGTCTCTTTGGGCCACCTTAGATTATTACTGTTCTTTTTGTGCAGGAGTGACGGTGATTCCTTTTTGTTCAGTGCTCCCTGGTATCTGGAATTGAATCACAGCAGAAATACAGGGAAGCCTAAACTCGTGGGCTGGAAAAGCAGCAGCTGGGTGGTAGGAGTCTGGCTGGTGCACAGAGGTGCCTGGGTAATGAGATGTGATCAGAGCTGCACCTCCGCCTTCTACAGAAAAAAAAAAAAAATCAGAAAAACAACCCTGACCAGGCCAAGTTCTACTCAGAGTCAGACAGGCCGCCCCTGGGATGCTCAGTAGTTTTCAGGAGCATTTAAGGATCTGACAACCTACATGGATGGGAAGGCTATTAAGAAAACATTAATTAGCTCAGGTGGACTTAATCATCTGGTTAAAGGGAACATACATTGCAAAACTTCCACAAAAACATTTTAATTATTCCTAATTGTTCTTCCAGCCCTCAAAAACCAGTTCCAGATTTCCAGATTTTTTTTTTACCACTCTTTTGTCTTTAAATATGCATGTAGTTTAGGTAAGATTGAAATTAGGAATTATTTAGGAACATGTCTGTACAGGGTAGGGAGTATTTGAAGGGAGCAGGATATCTCTAGAGCAGTGACGGTTTCCTGAGCGTTGCCTTTTGACCATGAGTTAGAAAAATTTCAGTTGAAGAAAGTTATTACTTTATGGCTTTATTCTTGTTTGTATTGCATCCATTTTTTCCCTCTTGTCTTCATGAATCCAAGTGTGTTAGGCAGGAAAGTGTAATACTTTCATTCAGGATTATTTTTCTGTGCATCTGTATAAATATTACTGGCTCAGAACTTACTCTGAAGCTGTTCATTTAACCACCAGCCATTTTTTTACAAGGACCTGAGTTAGGAGGGTTTGTCAGGTAAGGTGATAGCTAAGGCACTTATGTTATTCTTAAGTGAGATAGTTTGAGGACAGGGCACTTTTTAGTCCTCAAGAGCAAAGATGTGTCTTGGGTACACTGCCAATTCCCATCTCTGCTGCTGTGGAACAGCAGAGGGGGGAGCTGCAGTTATCCCAGACTTTGGACAAGGAGGCAGAGATGTCTCGGTGCTGAATGTACCCAGCTGCGAATGCTTGGGGCGCCCGTCAGCTCCTTTTGGGCTGGGATGGATCTCACAGGGTGGGGAGGAAATGGAGCAAAGCTCTACCCACGTCCTGAGGCAGTTCCATGCAGGTTTTCTTAAAAATGCAAACGCCTCCCTTTTTTTTTTTTTTTTAAAGTTTTCTCGGCACTGGAAGTGATCCTGGTGTCGGATTTGCACAGACCCTTGTGCGTCCCTCTGCCGGGGCAGGAGGCTGCTCCAGGTGCTGGGGCTGCTGCGTTTTGTCCTCCTGCCCAACGCGACCCTCCTCACCTTGGGCCAGATGCTCCGTTTTCCCGCAACCCTTAGGGAACGTCGAGCGCATCCGGAGGGGAAAAACCCAAAGGAAGTGATAAAGGGGACGGGGAATCATCCCCCGCCACGATAAGAGGCGCAGCAAGGCAGTTTTTTTTTTTTTCCAGAGGTCATGTTTGAAGCACGCCCATGGTTTTTACGAGCGTGGGAGCGGGCGGCCGGGATGATGCTTCTGGTTGAACCTGCTGCCTCTGGGTGTGAGTCAGGGCTGGCGGGGCCGGGACTCGGCACCGCGGGGACCCCGGGCAGCCCCCACGCCCCTGCCTCCCCACAGACACCCGGGGGGCTCCAAGGGGTGCAGCCCCTCGGCGGAATCCTCCTTGTTCCCTCCGCTGCTGGGTTTTCCCTGTATCTGGGGGGAAGAGGGGTGTGGGAGGCGGCGCGGCGGAGCGGGTGGGTGGTGATGTCAGGCGTGTGTCAGCGCTGGGAGGCGAAGCTGCCAAAGCAGAGCGGCAAGACGGAGGGACGGCACGGCCGCCTGGGCTGTGCCCTGCCCGTGCCAGCCCTGACACTGCCCGGCGGGGCCGGGAAGCCGGGATCGGGATCGGGATCGCGGCGGGGTGAGTGCGGGGCGCGGGGAAGCAGCCGGGGCTGTGCCCGGATCCCGGCTGGGATCGCTGCCGGAGCGCCCACGGGCGCCTGTTGCTCAATGTTTCCTTTGGGTTGTTTCCTTTATTTCCTTTATAAAACGTATTTATTTTCAAAATCAGTGCAGGGTTGTAAAGAGGCGTTTCTGACAGCGGCGTGGCTAGGCAGGAGGGCTGTGAGACAAACAGAAACTTACTGAAGCAGCAGAGGGAAACTTCCACAATCGTCTAGAAAATAACTTATTAATTCTAGTAAATTAATTTTCACTTGGCTTCTCTTTTTCTGCGGCAGGTTCTAATAGTCAGTTGTACTCCTAGGAAAGTTTTAATTAAACAGCGGGAAAGGCTGCTGAAAGAGCCACTTTTCCCCTGAAACACAAATGTGCTGGGCTATGTTTCATTGTATTATGAATGTTTCAGATGCATCACAGCCTCATACGTCATTTTTTACAAAACCTGAAGTGCTTCTGTACTGGGAGGTAGCATGGCATGTCAGGATTTGGCAAAGGCCAGCAGGAATGTTGTGTGTCCTGGGGGTTTCTGGTGTGGTGGCTGCACCCTTGGAGGCTTTGAAAGAACTCCAGTGGGGAAAGGAGGGAGCTGTTGTGAGGCTCTGGGTGCCTCTCCTGGATCCCTGGTGTCCAGGGCTGATCTCTCACTGAACCCTGTCCCTGCCTGCCCAGCTGGATGGAAGCAGTTCCGGTACCTCCGTGTGGGCTGCAGCTCTGGCAAGCAGCTGATGGAAACTGCAGCCTGCTGCTGCACCTGTGCGGCCCAGCATGGTCAGGGGGACATCCCTGGGGACACCGTCTGGGTCCCCATGTACATCCAGGCATCCTGGCACTGCTAGAGGAGGGGGCAGGAGGAGGTGCTGCCGAAACCTGCGCAGCTGGGCTGGGCAGAGGCAGCCCCCCATGGCTCATCCCCAGGGGATGGCTGATGCTGCTGCGAAAGGAGAGCGAATTCAGATGAAATTCTGATCCCACGGGTGCAGCTGCCAAGCCCCAACTGACTTTGATCTCTTCTCCCAGCTGGCACTTTGCAGGAAATATGTGGGTTTCTAGCAGGAGGATGTGCTGGGGGTGGCTTCCTCCTGTAGCTGCTGTTGTTCTGTACATGCTGTACCTCTGCTCCAAAATGTCACGCTGGATGTCTCACGCAGTGTCTTCACAAGAGAAAGGTCTTGGTTTTTCCAAGCTGCTGCCATTCCCTGGGGATGCTCTGACTCAGGGAAGTAGACCATAGTTGTCTATACAATTACTTTGTAAAGAGATTTTTGTGTTTAATCAGAGAGAAAATTACTTTAGCTGCCCTGCCAAGATCTCTGGGAACTTCTAGCAGTGAAATTAGATGTGCTATTGATGGAGGCAGATGTTGTCACTGGCAAAATCCTCAATGTGCAACACATTGTCTGTAAGAGTGTGAAATTACTGAGGGGGCATCCTATACTTATGTGCTTCTTTTAATTGGTGTTATGAATGTAGTTATTGCTCAGTCCATGCCTTAGCTGAGGATACACAGGAATTGTAATTTGCTGAAATTATATCACCTTGGGGTGAGAGGTCTGGTGATTTAGTGACCTTGTTCTGCTTCTCTCTCCCAATTCTCCTAGCTATTTCAATGGAAACAGCTGGAAAATCTCTATTTCCGTGAGAAGAAGTTTGCTGTGGAAGTGCACGATCCCCGCAGGTGAGGCTGGAGGAGGCAGTTCTGTCATGGGGGTTAATCTTTACCCACAGTGGGAGCTCATCACCAGTGTTGGTGGATGGGGTGGGAAGTGCCTCAGAGCTAACCTGAGTTTACTCTGGGCTTTGGGACTGATCCTGATCCAGAGTTTGGCAGGGCAGAGTGGGGCTATCACAGCTCTGGGTGTCCTCTCAAATTCCCTGTGTGTTCATTCAGGGAGTTCTTGGAGCAGGGGGAGGAGTATTTGTCATGGCCAAGTCTGCAGCAGCACTGGGTGATGGGATGAAGGAAATCTGAGTTTTTCCGTCCCTAAAATAAAGGCTGAGCCTCACCTGGTTAAGAGAGAGGATTATGGACTTTAAACCTCAAAGACCTGCCTTGAAATTGCATTTCTTTTCACCTCCTCAGAATTTCAGTGTCAAGAAGGACCTTTGGTCAGAGTGGGCTGGTGGTGCAGACCTGGTATGCAAACACTTCCCTGATCAAGTCCATCTGGGTGATGGCAATCAGTCAGCACCAGTTTTACTTGGACAGGAAGCAAAGCAAAGTAAGTTATGAGGAATTTTACTGCAAGCATGGATTTCAACACCTTTCCTGTATATCCTTCAGCACGTGTTTTTCCACGGATGAACTGCTCTCCAGAGAAAAACTGCAAATTGTTTTTGTCAGCTTTTTGAGCAGTCTCTTAGTGGTGGTACTGGTATTCAATCCATTTTAGCCTGCCTGCAGTTAAGGCCTATGGAAGTGTAATCATGGAAGAGGGAATTCCCATGTCTGGGTGTCTAATCTGCCTTTTCTTTTGTCTCCTTTCCTGTGTTTGTTTTGGAAGCTGTAGAGATTTTGAGCTGGGAGATGGTTCAGGTTTTGGGGGAGAGGGGAAAGGAGTGCCAAACAGCCCTTGTATACCACAAGCACCCGTGTGATGCTGTTGCTTTAGCCCTTAATTTTGTGGGAGATGGTGTGTGAAATGTCATCATCTGTGATGTGTTCTGAAGTTAATTAGAGGTAACTCAATGAGGCTGTTGGGTTTTTTTAACTCCTTCAGGCAAAAATTCCATCAGCCAGAAGTTTGGATGATATCGCCATGGATCTGACAGAGATGGGAACTCCAAAAGTGTCAAAGCTGGTGACTTTGGAGGCCAAGAACCAGCTTATTATGGCCAGCAATGGCAGTTTGATCTCATCAGGTAATACTGCATGTAAATGTGAAGTAGCCAAGTTTAAAGAGGCTTGTTTGTTAAAAGGCAAATGAAACTACCAGACAATTAAAACGGCCTTTACCTGGAAATCCTCTAATACAGAGTGTGTTTCCCAGGTTCACAGGATTCAGAGGTCAGTGAAGAACAAAAGAAGGAGAAAATTATGGAACTAAAGAAAAAAGAGAAACTCCTTCAGGAAAAACTGCTTCAGAAAGTTGAGGAGCTGAAGAAAATCTGCCTGCGAGAGGCGGTGAGAACTGCACCTCACAGTGGGCTCGGGCAGGTGGGAGCCCTCTTCTCCCCCTGGGCCTTACCTGGAGCCCTCTCTGTTGTTCCCCAGGAGCTGACAGGGAAGATGCCCAAGGAGTATCCCCTGGGTGCTGGAGAGGAGCCTCCCCAGGTGAGGCGGCGCGTTGGCACGGCGTTCAAGCTGGATGACAACCTGCTCCCCAGTGAGGAGGTGAGCCTGGCAACTTGTTTGCACAGGGGGCTGGGGTGGCCAGACCAGTGGCCAAACACACTTGTAGATAATCCAGCTCTTCCCTGGGGGTTTTAAGAGGAGGCAGCTGGAGCAGTTGCTTGTGTGGAGTGGGAAATTTTGGTGGGTTCTGCCCTTCTTTCAGCCACGCTTTGAACTGACCGGAAAAATCGGCTGTTTCTAAAGGCCTTAAGTTCACCCTGCATGAACCCCTGCATGAATTTTAATGAATATTTTGCTGCTAATTAGAGAAGATCAGGTGCATAATGCCATTTGGGCAGCCCATGGCTTTTCTGAAGCATTCACTTGTGTCATGTTGGGATGGTGCTTGAACACAGAACGTGGCAGGGGTGTGCTCTGTCTCCCTTGCAAAATCATCTGTCTGTGAGCATAGTTTTGTGACAGGTGACAGGAGGAGGAGTTTTATCTGTGGCTTAATGAAGATTCCACCTGTGTAAAACCTCCCTGCATTGCTCAAGAGGCTAAAATGAACTTTGCTGGCAGGGACTGACTCGAGTGATAGGGTAATTCAGATGTTTGCAGTTTCTGGACACACGCCATTCCCCCTCATTCCTTGTGAGATTTGTTAACAAGCTGTATCATCCAACTAAGTAGGTGTTGGGCACTTGGCATCTGTCTTTTACCAGAAACTCACTGCCCTGCCTCACAGGGCTGGTGTGCTCCTTGTCTGCAGCAAAGTGATTTTGTGGACTGCTTAAATGCTATTAAACCAAAATCCTGCTGACCAGATTTAATAACGTGTTGCTTAGCACTTCTGCATTCCCTTTCATGTGAGCTTCTCAAAGTAGTTTACAAACAATTAATTAAAGCCTGAAACTCCCTCTTACGTAGGTATGGGGATACCAAATTCCATTTTTATATTCTCTGAAGTAGGGAGAGATTTTGAACGATGTTTTCAGGATTGGACTCATACCAGGAGGTTTAGCAGCCTAAACCTGAATTTAAGAGCCTGTGTTATGTCACCTGGGCTTCAGAACTTTGGACCTTGCCCAAGAGATCTCAAAATTGTACTCTAGTCAGAAATAAGATCTAAGAATTTCATATGCTGAGATTGTCTTGTGTATAAACTTTGGTATTTCTGTATTTTGTGCTCAAGATTTCACTTCATCACCACAAAACTAGATCTTTTTATTAATGACTTTCATTGATAATTTCTCTCTGGAGTATAAGCAAATAACCTCTCATGAATTTGCAGGATCCTACTTTGCAGGACTTGGAGAGCAATTTTATCATACACCAAAAGCTGGTGGAAGCTGCAAAGAAACTTGCCAGCGAGCCAGACCTCTGCAAAAACGTGAAGAAGAAAAGAAAGCAAGAGTATGCTGATGCTGTTAAAAAGCTGCAAGAGATAGAAAACTCCATAAATGAATACAGAATCAAGTGTGGCAAAAAACCAACCCAGAAATCAACTCTGGCTCTACCAGGTGAGAGAATTCCCTGTGTTCTGATGGAAACAGGAGGGGAAAAGAGCAATTTGGCTGACTTAGAAACTTTGTGTACATCTTTTCTATATGGTTTTTATCTTCTCCAATGCAGTTAAATAAGAAAAAGATGAAACTGCTGCATCTGATACACTCAGTGCACTGGTGTAGGCTGGGGGCAGAGTAGGCCACAGTTTTAGGAACAAGCACAGGCATGTTCCAGCACCAGGTATGGGCTGAAGGTGCTGTGCACAGAAAGACTGGCAGCAACACCTTGGATGAAGCTTTTCTGATGCCTGAATTCCTGGTGGGATGAGTGCATTTATACATCTGAGCTGTCACATGCAACATCTCTCCCCATCCCTCCCGTGGTGCTTCTGTTCCAGCAGAAATAGAGCAGGCAGGGTTTTCTGCAGGATGAAGGACATTGCTTCTTGATTCAAAATTCCTGATTTCCCAGAAGTCATAAGTGATCTTCAGGAGTTTATGAATGCAGTTAGTAGCCGACAGATTTTTGAGTAAATCCATTTGTCACTGATGAGCGCAGTAAAAGCAGATACTCTTGGCCCCTCCATTCTTAGTGTGTTTCTCCTAAGAGAAGTGAGATTCTTGCTGCTTTGTAGGGTAAGTGTGAAAACCTGTTAGTCCCCAAGCCAACTGAAGGAGTTTTGGATCCTTACCCCGACACACCACGGCATCACTGGGCTATCCATCATCGCAGAGTGATTATTCTGGAAGGCTGATGATCGGCATTTAATGTGGCCCAGCTTGTTCCTGATTGACAGAGGGGAGGGAAACATCTGTCTTTCCAGTCTCTTGCTCACCAGTCTGGATACTGATTGTGGAAGGTCCTGTATTACCTGGAGCACCTGCTGTGTGGTAATGACCAGGAAGGCTGGTGAACAGAGATCATCCATCCGTCTATGGGCGCTATTGTTTGTTGCTGGCAGTTTCTTTCTCTGTTGTCCAAGCCAGCAATAAGCAGCTGCATTCCTTTCCATTGCCAGGCTCTCACCCTGCAGTGTGTATTTGTTTACCTGAAGCAGAGCTGTGCCCTGCTTCAGTAATTGATTTTATGTGTAGCCTTGTCACCGTCACCAGCAGTGCTCTCGAGCTCCAGGTGTGGGTTTCAGAAGGCTGAGCAGTGATGAGTCACTTGAGTCTGTGAATTCAGGGAATGACTTGTTAGAAGTAATATGTTAAATAGTCCCATTGATTTATTGAATCAAACCATAGCTGTTTCCATCCCAGCCCCAAGGGTAGGAGGTGAAGGACATATTTGACTGCTTTCTGTGTTCCACTTTCTCTTCTCTTTCCTCCCTCTGTAGCCCAGAGTTTCTTCCTCCTTTGCAGGGAGTTGCACAGACCTGGGATTTAAATTCAGATATGTCACCATATTTGAATATGTCAGCATTGCACACCCCCCCTGAATCCAGCTCTGTAGCTTTAGGCTGGCTTTTTTCTTTTCCTCGGCAGTCTTTGTTCCTCCCCATGCTGGGCCCAGTTCCATGTTTTACCACCCTGTGGTCAAATCCACATTAATCAGCTCCCCTGGAGCTTTTTCCCAGTGTCAGGTTGCAAGCAGAGCTGCAGCCCATCCTCGGTGGTCTGACAAGTCTCCCCAGGGCAGGGGCCAGTCCTGATTTTTGCTGTTTTTGAACAGCTGCTCTATTTACTGCATTCTTGTAACCAGAGCTTTCCTGGCAGCAAATTGTGACAGCAGGAGCAATGTACATTGCACGTGCTGAGGCACAAGCAGGTGTCATACCCAGAGTGGCTGCCACTCTCATTTTTTGTTGCTTCCTTTCTCTCATGCTTGAAGATTCATGGAGGTTTTTTACCCCACCAGTGCTGTATCTTGCCAGAAACAGCCTAGGCATTGAGCTGTTTGTGGGTTGATTGTCTCTAGTTCAGCCTCATTTCTCTGCTGCTGGTGGTCTACTCCAAACCTGAGTGAGGACAGGCTGTTTCTCATTGTGTAGCATCAAGGTGAGACAGGTACAGTGAAGTGCTGTGAATAAACAACAAAATGTAAAAGAAACAAAAAATTAGTATGCCCATGCAGCAGTTCCTGTTTTCTGTGTTGCTGGAATTTGCAATACCTTGATGGAAATCAGTGGAATTACTCTGGATTGATCTTAGTTTAATTGAAACAGGATCTGTATACTGATGAAACATTCAAAAGTGAGTGCCAGATTTTAAAAGGCTTTTTGTACCTACCTGGTGGGGTTTCAGGTGTACCTAGAGGAGATTAGCTGCTAACAGCCAAGATCTACATGTCTGTGTAGGCTCCTGACTCCTACTGAAGCTCCAAAACACCCTGTGAGATCTGTTGGAAGTGGGGTGGAAAACACCTTTGTAAATCTTGGCCTGATTCCTGCTGCAGATTAAAATTTAAGAAAAAAAAAAATCTCCTTTGATAATTGCTTGGGTCGCTTGCTGAACTGCAGTGAACACACAGAGTGATGATGCACCAGGACTGTCTTTGGGCTGTGGGGGCTAAAGAATAAGGATTGCAGTGTTACAAGTATCAGCTGGCTCTGAAACTCTAGGAAATAAACTGTATTAAGATATTTGTAAGTTGATGTTGGCTCTTTTATGCTTAAAGTGTTTGTTTTTATTCACAGATGATATCATTCCATCCGAGAGCAGCTCCCTGTCAGACACAACCACCTATGATGATGGTATGATGCTTACCCTTTTTTTCCCCAGGAAGTTTGTCTATTCAGAGATATTTCTTTGACTTAATGTCCTTTAGCATGTCCCATCCCTGGAAGTGTTCAAGGCCAGGCTGGACAGGGCTTTGAGCAAAACCTTTTAGAGGAAAGTGTTCCTGCCCATGGCAGGGAGTTGGAATGAGATTAAGGTCTCTTCCAGTACAAGTCATTATATGATTCTGTAATTTTGGTGGCTTTTGATGATAAATTACTTTATAGAAGAGGAAAAAATAGCTACTCAGGAATGTCCTTCCTCTTAATGGGTTGGTTTCTGAAAGGTTCTGCTGTGTGAGCTCACCTGAGTCATCTTTAGAGAAGGAAGTTGGTTTTAACATGACCAGCCTGCAAGCTGAGGACACTGTGAGTGTCAAATACGTTCTCCCTAGGGCCTGGCCTAGAACTGAAGGACTTACAAATTGGGAGAATTAGCCCAGCCCTTCTGCCCTCACAGCTATCATAAAACATAGAGAAAGGTGGAATAGTCACAGATACTAATGCTCTATTTACGTTTATCTGTTCCCTAGTGAGCTTGCATCTTGCATGGGTTGGTGTTTGCTCAGCTTACTCATTTCACACACACACCCACAGACACACTCACACCCTGTTCCACAAGGTGGAAAGGACTTGGCCTGCCTCTCCCTTAAACTGGATAATCGTCATTTGGGGACAAACATTATCTAAATAATTACTCACTTTTCAGTTCGAGCCTGATTTGGATCTCCCTTTGTCCCAGTTTTAGACTTGTACAAACCAGGTGTTGCTGTAAAATGGATTTACACCTGATTCCTGCTTGTACAAGTAGAAGTGGAGCCAGGCTTGTGAACATATTCTCTGTGATGCTCATCCTGCATTTATATGTATTAGTTGGAGTTTCCTGTTGGCTCTGTCGGGACCTGGTTGTGCCCTAAGCTAAGTGAGAACAAGGATCAAACCAGCATCTTCCCAATTGCCTTCAGCCAAATGTGTCTGTCAGTTGTCTTTGCTCATTCAGTCGCTTTTGAAGTCAGTCTCTTTTAGGTTGTGTTTCAAAATTAATTCTTAAAATGTCATTTTCAAGAGCTGGAAGGTGAGGGAGAGGAACTGGCCTTTGCAGAGGCTGAGCTTGTCTGCTTGGCTCTGGAAAGGATTGCTCTGCAAACAGATGTTTTCCCAGGAAGTTCCATTCTGTGATCTGGCACAGCCCCAAGCTGGGTGTAGTCTCCATAGGAGTTGGTGCTGCTGGGATCTGTAGGAACCTCCACGATGTCCTGTCTGTGTGGACAGAGCTCAGTGCAGGCAGGAAATCTTCTCTAGATCTAAAGCTCCTGTCATTGTCTCTGTACTGCAAAGTGCTTCTCCTTGAGGGCCACAGATTTGCACACAGGGCAGAAATATCAGGGATTTTGCTCTAACAAAGTGCATATTCCTTTCCAACAGTCAGTGAATCCCTTCCTGCAGCAGCACAGAGACCCAGCTCTGCACAGCTTTCTCCAAGACTTCCCCCACCAAAGTCCCTTGGCGTGGAGAGAATTCATCTCAGGAAGTCATCCGTAAATGAGCAGCTCTTGGAAAGCAGACACTCCAGGTAGGCACACCTCAGTGCTGCTGCACTCTGCACGGCTGGCATGAGCTGCATCCTGTCCCTGCTGAGCATTCCAGCAGAGCCCCCTGCCTCTGTGCTGTTCTGGGCTTACAGGGATTGGGGATGGGAGCTGGATTTCCTGGCTAGGAACAAAAGTTGACACAGTATCTCAAACCAAAGAGTAGTGTAGTTTTTGTGAAGAGGTTTGAGATGGGTGAGAAATATAATAGCGAGGACTGCATTTAAGGAGTTGCTTGTGCTGTCATTCTTATGTCAGTTTCTGGGCTTTTTCAGTGTTCATTTAACAACTTGTCATTTTCCTGATGACTGTGCTTAGTAAATTCAGGCAGCACCAAACCCTACCCATCCCTCCTGATGGTATCAATATTTCAGCAGGTACATTATCAAAGCAGACATAATTCATGTGAGGCCTGATAGAGAATTCTCTGTTTACAAGCAGAGTTACTGGGATTCAGACAGCTTCCATCATTTGTGTCAGCTGTGTATCCATCCCAAATCTATGGGATTTGAGCACTTTGTGAGCTAGGACAGCTCCCTGGAGCACATCAGTAGCAGTAGGTTTGCAGGTGATTTTGTGATCGTGTCAGATCCGGTGCTAGCTAGCAGCTGTACCCAGTGTAGGGATTCCCACTGATCCTGTGATTTCTTGGACTGTCTTGTATGAGCAGGCTGTTAAAGACACACTTATGAACGTTTTAGAGTTTTGAGCAATGCCATGTCCTCTCATCTGTCCCTCAAGACTAGCAGAACACTCCTCCCCATGAAGTTCAGAAGTCAAATTATAGCCATAGGTACCCATTCAACTGTGATGTGCTTCATTTGAAAACCTAATTCATTTGCTTCTCTGTTACCTGCTCTGTCTCTTCTCGATGGTTCTGTCCTTTGGCAGCAGCTTGTCCTGCTGCTCACCCTGTGAAGAGCTCCCTTTAACCACAGGAAGGGGTTGAATTTTCCTTCCTATTTAACAACTCTCTTTCTCACACATCCAGTTACGTTTGTTCCGCCCTTTCTTCTGTTTCTCCAAGACTTCAGTTGCCCATGCTGGGTGTGCTGTGACTTGTGTTGGGACTTTTAACCTCACTGGCTTTGTCTGCTCTGCTGCAGGGACGTGCTCTCGACGCACAGCAGCCCTTTCCGCACGCTGGAGCGGCCGGCGCAGCCCCAGGGCGGGAGGAGCATGCCCACCACCCCCGTGCTCACCCGCAACGCCTACAGCAGCAGCCACCTGCAGTAAGGGACCTGGGCTCTGTGTGCCACACCTGCCTGGGGAAGCACGGGAGTCAGAGCAAATGGTGTTGAGAGGGAAGAGGGTTGTTGGCTGGGCGGTTTTCCCACAGCAGGGTCAGGATTTCAGAATGTTGGGTAGAGATATTACTATGGGAAGCCAGTCCGTGGTGGAGAGGAAGAGATGCTAAGAATCTTAGAATGTTGCCAAGAGCTCAGGGTTTGTTTGTAATGCAGCCTTGAGAGACAGATCCAAAGGGAGCCCATCTTCCCATGTTCTGCTCCAAGCTCATTACTTTTGTAGTATTCATAGATTATATAATTCCATCATACAATTCCTTTTTTCTAAAAGGAAAAGCCTGATGGAGAGTTCTATGTTTACCAGCAGAGTTACCGAGATTCAGACAGCTTCCATCATTAGTGTTGGCTGTGTCTATGACATTTGGACACTTTATGTGCTAGAACAGCTCCATGGAGCACATCAGTAGGTTTGCAGGTGATTGAGGGAGCCCTCCCGTAAATCATTAGCAAATGTATGTTTGTGACCTTAGCTCAGTGTGTCCCTGTCACAGATTAACCTTGCTCAGCCTGACATATTATTATAATGCAGATCTCCTACTATTGCAGCCAATAAATTCAGCCAAACTGATTTCTGTGCATTGCAAATACTCTGTGTGGAAACATAAGGCAGGATTTGTGTTGTGTTTGGATTGGGGAGGCAGCTGACCTGTCCTTGCATGCTCTCCCCAGCTCTTTGTGTATATTTGTGTGAGACTTGCCTTTAACCAGCCAACATCTGTGTTGTTCTAGGCCAGATGTTTCCCCACACCACTGCCGGCAGCGCAGCGGAAGTCTGGAATCCCAGACCCACCTGCTGTCCGAGACTCCTGCAGAAAAGCCAGCCTTCTCCCTCTCCAAGTCCCAGCGGAGCAGCAGCACAGAGATCCTGGACGATGGATCATCCTACACCAGCCAGTCAAGTGCAGAGTATTACTGCGTGACACCCACTCCCAATCCCTATTACACCACTCAGACTCTCGACAACAGGACCAGGGGTCGAAGACGGTCCAAGAAACACAACATTTCTGCTGCAAGTTCAGGAAGCATGCCAAACCTGGCCCATAAGGACGTCCGCAGTGGTGTCTTCCACAAAAACCAGGAGCAGCCTTCCTCCAGTTACTATATTTCTGGATACTCCCCGTACACTGAGCCTGACGTTTACTACAACGGGGGCTACGTTTACGAGAGTGACACGGAGGGGCAGTACAGTGTCAACCCCTCCTACCGCTCATCGGCACATTACGGATACGAGCGGTACAGGGAATTCCGCTCCTACCACGAGGACGAGGTGGACAGAGTTCCACACAACCCCTACGCCACCCTCAGGCTCCCCAGGAAGCAAGTTGCTAAAACGGAGCACATAACCAAAAACATTCACAAGGCCTTAGTAGCAGAGCATCTCCGGGGCTGGTACCAGCGTGCCTCCGGCCAGAAGGAGCAGGGTCACGGCCTGCAGGCAGGCTTTGAGTCTGACAGAGGATCTCAGAGGAGTTTGGGCTTTGCTGGTCTGCAGACGCCGTGCTCTCCAAGCAGTCGGGTGTCGTCTTTCTCTTCGGGTAATGTCTGATTTCATCTGTGCTGAGTGTTTTTCCAAGTCCCTGCTGTGCTGTCGGTTCTGCCCCCTGTCACTGCTTCAGTGAACTCAGCGGCGTGGAAGCCAGGCCAGGGCTCTGTCCTGAAAGGCTGATGAGGAGCCAAGTAGGATCTTGTTCTGTTCTTGGAAGGAAAGTCTTGCTTGTTATCTTCTCCTAAGGGTAAATCAGCCTTTTGCTCTTTGTGTAAGCACAGTAACCCAGAGAAGGACAAAGAGCATTTGAGTTTGACAGGTGTATTTAGCAACTAGAAGCAGTATACAAAGCTTCATGCCATGTAAATGCAGTGGCTGTGATGGCTTCCAAGACAGTCTATTGAGCATCACTGACTGTGTCAGAAAGGACTTTAAGAGCTCCAGAATGCCACCTGTACAGTGCTTGCCTCCCTACAGAGCTTGTAAATCATATTTTGTGTTTGCATTGTCTGCCTGTGTCCTGCAAAACCCCATAGAGATCGCTGATGGCAATTGTCTTGTTTGGCTCAGCTGATTTAGCTGAAGAAAGGTGTAATTTGTTGTAATCCTTTTCTTTTTAATTCCAGCATCTTCTACAAACACTGCTGGGAACTGGAGAACCCCCCTTGCACTGGGAATTTCAGACTACGATACGTTGTCTCATTCCTCCTACGCCAGCTGTTATGGGAATGTTTATGGCAACCTTCCTTTGCAGAGCAGGTGAGTAGAATATATGAACATTTTCTGCCCTTCCTCCTGCACGTCACAGGCTCTTAAGTCTTCTGAGCAAATCAGCTTGATTTCCAAGAGCCAGGATGAAGAGTATTTATAAAATTGGTGTTGTGAGGGCAGTTTTCTGTGTGGAGCAGATGAGCTGCACCACTACTAGGTGTACCCCAGCACTGAGGAAGTGGGGAGCAGTCACAGTGAAGGATGAGCTCATTGGTTGCACAACTTTTTCCTGTGGCTGGTGCAGGACAGTCAAACATCCTGCACTCCCTGGTAGCTGTGATGCTCTGGGCAGTGTTGCAGGCAGAGCTGACATTGAGTGAGCCCAGTCCCTCTGATGGGGGGGACTCTCCTGAACCCCATCAGCAGTTTCCCAGGACACAGTCCTGTTGGGTTCCTGACGCTTTAGTGCTTGTGCAGCTAAACTTTTGGAAAAAAAAGGAAAGGAAACACCTCTCCAGCCTCATGTCTGAGGTGGTGCAACCTCTGCCAAGTGCATCCCCTGTGGCAGAGCTGAACCTGGGAGCCATGGGGGATTGGGGGATGTGCTGCTGTTTGCAGACACCCCCTGCTTGTGGGGGCTCTCCCAAGGGCTGCAGAGAGCCCAGGCTCTGCTTGGTCCTTGCAGGAAATCCTGCAGCTCTCGTTGCTTCTGCGTGGCATTTTGGATGTGTCCCCCCCACCACAGAACACTTGGCTGTGAGGACAGAAAGCTCCTGCCCTGGGGAATGACTCTGCCCCCACAAATGCCATCACATTTAAATACACTTATGCTCAGTGTAATGAGTACCCCACGTGTGCCTCCTGCTTTGTGGGTTGCAGTTTATGCTTGCTGCCAGACCGACTTGTGTGAAAATACTGAATTTTTAATTCTGTTTGTTTTAAAATAAATGAAAGTGTAAGGAAATACATAAAAGCTGCTGCTAGATCCTTTTTTTTCCTAAGCTAAGTGCTATGGGCTGTTTTACTGAAGTGATTTAAAATATCTATGGCAACAGTGTTTAAAAATACTGTTTCTACTAATTTTTTAATTTCTTGTAATTGAGCTTTGAAAATTCTGCTTGTATTAGCAGCGTTATCTAAATTAGGTTCATTCATTAATTTTCCACATTCTGAATCACTTGTCTGATTGTTCATCTGCTTTGTGTTTTGCTTTAATGTGATCATGGCAAATAAGCAATCAGTACACCCAGCAGTCTTGATGGAGCCCAAGGCCGGGTTGCATGGGGCTTGGAGCAGCCTGGTGTAGTGGAAGGTGTTCCTGTCCAGGGAACAAGATGGGCTTTAAGGTCCCTCCAAGCCAAACCAGTCTGTGATACTGTGACAGTTTTGAGCAGCTAAGAGTGCTCTTGCCCACAATTTCACTGATAACAGCACAAAAAATGGGTTTGTGCTTGGAGGCAAACTCAAAATAACCAGCATAACTGAGCCCAAGGGAGGTGCATGAATTTAACAGCCTGGGGAGCACCCTCAGCTGATCCTGGTGCCGTGTCTGTGTTGCAGGACCTACGTGGAGCCGAGCCAGCTGGGAGGGGAGGAGGAGGATGGCTTGGAGGCAGAGCTGCCCAGCAGTGAGCAGAGGCTGTTCTGGCACGAGGACTCCAAGCCCGGGACGCTGGTGTAGCCCCCGAGCAGCCCCTCGTTCCTACCCCTGCGTGCCTTGCACAAAACGCCGCGACAAAACGCCGAGGAGGACCTCGGGTGGAACTTGCAAAAGGAACAAAAGGAGGAAGCAGGCTGTTCTGCTGGGAAAGGTGGAATTCAGCATTAAGAGGGACTGTAGCAAACTGACAAAGTCTTACCACGAATGGCGTTTCTTTGTGAATCCGTACAGCCCAGGGCAAGCCACAGTTCATCTACGACCAGATGCAGCACTTGGTTGAAGTATTTATACTGAGCAAGCACTTTTTGGGAAGGTTGGAAGGTCTTGAAGGCAAACCTCAGAGATAAAAAAAAAAATGTGAAAAGGAGACTCTTATGGAACAACCAGGAATTCTAGGAGCACAAGTTTGATGTCTGAAAGAAGAAGAAAAAATGAAAATTTATTCTGCCATGGCTTATGGGGACCTGGAAGAGTTTTCATAGGCTTATGAAGGATAGATCTGTGTGTGTGAGTGAGGCAAGGGGTGACTGAGTCAGTATTGGAACATTACTTGAAGGAAGGCTGGAGTTTTTTTGTTATGGAGGTTTGAATGAGTCTGTCCAGTTTTTGGGGTGTTGTTAAGAGTGTTTGTTAGCACCACGAGCAAGTTCTGGAAAGAAAAAAAAATTTGCTGATGCATACATCATATAAAACTAATAGCTCGTTGTCAGTTTGAAAACAGAAGCAGTGAACTTCGAATTCTCTTTTCCATGATAAAACATAATTATTAACGGCCCATTTAATGACCTTTCCATGGTACAACTTCACTGTGTGGAGGAGTAGGCAAATTGTCACCGTGGCTGCACGGTGACCCTGTTCAGCGGGCGACAGTGACACATTGCTGTGCCACAGTGGGTCAAGGACCCACCGTGGGGAGCCCCAGGGAGTAATTTGGTAGCAGTGGCCAGTATTTTAAGGTGATGCAAACACAAACAGCCAAGTGGGTGCCTTAAAATGAGGGGCATTAGACAAGCGAGTCACCTGAACTGCCAGGTGCGTTGCAAAGTCACTGAGTGACAGAACAGCGTTTTCACAGAACCATTTGTGTAGGAAAAAACCACGTGACTGCAGTCTTGGTTTAAGAGGGATAAACCTACCTCAGGTCATCCGTCTGTAGGAACAAACTGGCACAGGGTTATCCTGCCTGATTCCTGATGACTCGTCTGCATATGGTAAATTCTCTCTCGTTTCTCAGCTGTACTGTGCTTCAGGATTCCAGAAATGGTGCTCTTTTGTTCTTTTATACAGAAGATTAGTTACTCCTTGTTCATATTGTGAATAGAAAGGTTTCTGATAAACTTTTTTGACGTTTTTTACCAGTATTCCAGAGCATGTAATATATACAGAAGGACACACTTGTTAAGCTGGTACTTAGTTGTTTGTATTATTAGAGTCGCAATTTGGAATTAAACGAACAAAAACAAAATAAAAAATAACTTATTTCTTTGGTTTTGCATATTTGTATAGCCTTCTAGAAATGCGAAAGCTCTTTTTGCTTATTCTTTTACTACTCCTGAATTTTTTAGACCTATTATTTTGTATAGGTCAATAAACTAAAAAGTGTGCTACCAAAACCACTTCAGCATTCCTCCTGTTTCTCCTTGAGTGCTTGGGAAAGTGCAGTGTGTGTTATTTCAGGGCTTTGAAGTAAATCACTGTGGTCTGATTTCTTTTGGCCTGTGATGTTGGGTGGGGTGCAGAGGGTCAGTGGTCTCATCTGAAGGGAGGCTGGCCCCAGGCAGGTCAGAGATTCCAAAATATCAGGTCGGAATTTCTGCTTCTCCATCAGCTGTACTGAGGGAGCCAAGCTGGGCTCTCTCAGCATCCCTCCATTGATACAGAGACAGAGGTGTCCTTGTGTTGTTGAAAATGCTTCTTGATCTGTCCTTGCACCTAGGAATTGCCACAGCCTTTCCCATTTGGAACGTGGCTGTTAGGGTTTGTGTTGCTCAAGTGCTGGGTCCTCTTTGGAGTTTGTGCTCCCTGAGACATGCACCTATCTGTGAGAGTGACTTGGGTTTCAGAGGTACAACTGCTTCTGCACCCTGGTCACCCAGTAGCTGAGATTATTCATTCTCACTCTCCTCTCTAACTCTTTCATTCCCTACTTTTTGTGTTGCCCATAAACTTCACAACCACCACTGAATTTTATTCTTTTTTCCAGGTTGCTGGTGAAAGTAGGTGTTTAAAAAAGCCTGCAGGTGTGCCCATTAAAATTGCCCCCATAACACTGTACTTTTGCATTTCTCCAAGCAGCATTTGAGGTTTGTTTGCTGGCAAGTTCTTCATGCACTGGCTGCTCCCTGCTGCTGCAAACCACCAGTGCTTTGAGCAGGAAGCTGAGTGATCCCAAGTCCAGTTCCTTACCTAGAGCTCCTGGAATCGGCACTATCAAAGCTTTTCCTACAAAAAGGAAATGAGATGTGTAACAAGGCTTGTTCCCCATTTAAAGCTTTGTTTGCAATCATTTGTTTCAATGCTGTACCCACAGAGTTCTGTGTTGGCTTTTCTGTCAGCATTCAGGATTTAGCTCAGCCCAACACATCCGTGTTGGCACAAGGGTGGCACTCAGCCTGGCTTCCTGGGAGAGCACCAGGGTGATTTTGGATGAAGTTGTTGAGAACATGGGGTTTTGAGGTGGGTTTGGGTTGAGGATGTTCTGCTGTATTTGGGGGTGTTGTGTATAAAACCTGTAGGGCCAGAGTTCAGAGCCTGTTTGGGGTTTCCAGTTAGCAGGAGCCGAGCAGAGGAACTGGAAATGGAAGTGGGGTGGTGGAGCTGCAGCTCTCTGGCCCCTCTTGTCATTCTCCACATGCCTGGCTCTGCAAGGGTTTTGTTTTTAGGAACTTGTCTGAAGGGTGCAAATACAAAGTGAAGAAGGAGGCCCAGAAGAAGAGAATAAGAATATCCAACTTTTCTCAGATGTTGCTTAGGGTCAGTCTTGGGTGGCACAGGGAGGGAAAGGGAGACCACGATGTCTCTGTGGCATCTCCTGCCTATCAGGGGAGCTGCTGCTGCACTCATTTGTTGCCAGTTGTTGCCCAGAACCTTTAACATTGCCCTTTGCAGATTCCCAGCTTGCTTTGTTGCATTTCTCGAGTGATGTTTTGATGCAGATGTACAACTGTTGACAGAAACAAGTCTGTATACTGCAGCTGAGGAGGTAATAAAGACATACTTGTAATCATTATCTTATTTGCTCACAGCTGAAATACAAATTGCCTGTGCTTTGTTTGAATTCCTATCTCATCTGTGTGTAGCTGTGTAACCACAGCCTGCCTCACCAGGATAACTGAGGACATCTAGTGCCTGACAGCAGAGTTGAGGAGAGGAGCCTTCCTGCCTCTTGTGCTCCTCTGGAATCCTTCCTGACCCTTCCAGTATGAAGAAATATCTAGGAATGCTTATTTGGTAATATCAGAACAAAGCCAGGATGTAAATAAGGTGAAACACCAGACCCACAGGGTTTGATTTTACAAACTTCTCTCTCTTCAGAAAGTGGATGCTGCTGATGGGAGTGTGGAGGGGAAATAAAACCCCACTTAAATCTGTGTGTAGTGGAGTGGCTTTGAGTGCTTTGAATTAAAAAGAAGACCCTGTCCTTGCCAGGAATCCTTAAAAAGGAATTTGGGCACTGAGCTAAAATAAGCCATGTCTGATATTTTTAATTACTGTCTGCTTCTTCTCTGCTGTTTTGAACAAAAATACTCTGATAAGGGAGGACAAGCACTGATAGGAATTGCCACGAGCCCTGTGGGAGGCTGGTGTTGGACATTCCTCCAGTGCAGGGACCAGGAGGGATGAGGCTCAGGCCAACACAAGAAAATCTTTTAAGATCACTAATCTTTAAAATTCACCTGACTAACATGAAACTTTTTGGCCAAGGTGACTCAGTATGTGACTCTTGCAGGTTTCTGCTGACTTCTCCTTTATGACCTTGGGCTTGCTCAGCTGAAGTGTGAAGAATGCAGCAGCAGTGTTGGTAGCTCCTGGGTGGGTGAGAAGCCTCCACCATGACCCAGCCCATCCCAAAACGTGTGTAGGAAATCCTGTAAAGACTGAAGGTTTGCTCCATCTTCTGGGCTTTGGGATGGTTGCAGGAGAGCTGCTCCTGAGCCTGGAGAGAAGCTCCCTGCACTTGCCTGTCTCTGTCTGGATATATCCACACTACTCCTAGGAAGATTCCTGCATTCTACACTATTCTTCCATCTCCTTTGTATTTTTCTGTCATATTTAATGAAGTTCTAAGGTATAAAACTGACAGTCTCAGCTACAGCAGGGCCTCACCTGCTGAGTAGTGCAATCTCAGTGAAACCTCTCCCAGGGCAGGATTTATCATCAAAGTTTTTACCCTGTGCTCTGCTGGAGCAGATGGAGCCTGAGGTGACATTTCCTCCTTGGGAGAAGGGGCAGTGTGAGCTGTGATCAGTGCTGGTAGCCCAGGAGGACACATGGCACAAAGGTCAGGGCCTTAATGACACAGAAGCCAGAGTCCTGACAAGAAGCAGCTCCTTGCCATCCGTCCACCTTGGTTATCCCTGTCTGTCCCCTGTGATGAAGGCAATCACCATAAATCCTTCAGCAAGCCCTTGGCTGCGGAGGGATGTGCCCTGCCTCCCTGGACATCTCCTGCCCTGTCCCAGCACAGCAGGCAGAAATCTCAATTTCTATTTGATCATTAGAGTGCCATCAAAGAGCTGCAGATGGAGAAGAGTTTGCAGCCAGCCAGGGCTCAGCTGGAGTAACTCTAGAAGAAATCCCTGCACCTGCTGCCAGCCTGAGGTTAGGGAAGGACGTGGCCCATGTGTGCAGAACGAGGTGGCCATGTGGCCTTTGCAGCATCACTGCCTGTGGGCACGTTTTGGTGGCAGCAGGACACGAGGTGTGGGGCTGTGGGAGGTTTGGATGCTGTAAAAGAAAGAAACACCCTGTTTCAGTGTGAAGGGTGACATTGTTTCTTAGGATGACTCTGTTTCTCATCTGATTTGCTTATGCCGAATTCAGTGTTTCGTATAAGTGTGGAGGTGATTGCTCCTTGTAAAGGTTATGATGTTGCTTCTTGAAGAATTTTTGACATTGTGTTATTGAAGTTCTGATTTAATAGTGCTGCCAGGCAACATTGGGAGTGAAAATACAGATTGGACCTAAAAAGAGAGGGTACATTTTAATATTTAATTCTAGCCACTGCTTTTAGCATGAGGCTTTGGTCACTCCTGGGTTTGGCTTTTTTTGTGTTTTTTTTGTTTTTTTCCTTGCAAACCTAGAGCACAGATAAATTGTGAGAATAAAGGTAGAGTTAGCAGTAAATAATTGCTGAATTGCACATGCTGTCACAGACAGGTTCTTGCACAGTTTTCAGGGAGATTAATGTCTTCTCTCAGGGTCTGAGCTTGCATTTCTGATGCCAGTATTGAATCTCTGAGCCTGTTTTGCACGAAGATTTGGAACAGCAAGCCCTCTGTTAATAGCAGTAAACGTTTGGGTAAATGCCCTGTGCAATGCCCATGGGTAGTGTGAGGTTCAGCTCAGTTTGCCTCGTGTCCAGGCCAGCTGTGCTGCCCCAGGGTCTCTGTCCCCAGGCACTCCCTGGTGCAGGGCTTGGTGTCCCCTTTTGGTGGCCATAGCCAGCCTCAGCTCTGTCCCAAAGCAGGTGAAGCCACACTGAGGCAGCTCAGGGCAGATTTTGGGTTTGCCATGGGGGAAAAGCCCCAGGTAGAGCTGTAGCTCAGTCCCTGAAGTCGTGGTCAGGTAACAAACATCATGAATTGCCTGCACCCCATAAAATAACAAAATTACTCATGGTCTCTCATAGACCTGTTTTTATTCACCACAGGCTGGTTTTCTACTCCTTTTGGCAGCTGTTGGTGCTGTGCTTTGGAAAGAAGAGGTAACAAACCACCACCCAGGGATGCAAACATTCGGGTGTTTACAAGTGCTTCACCAAGGTCGCATAAATAACAAGCTGGGAAAGGAAAATACCAAGTTAGCAGAAACCAATGCTGAGTGTTTCAGCATTTTGCCCATGTTTGTGCTATAAATGATGTCTGGGAGCAGAAATTCCCTCCTGTAGCCACAGAACTGCTCTGTGTAACAGAACACAGTGCAGAGCAGCCCCTCTGGCTGTGCTGGGGGTGCTGCTCCAGCCTCTTCAGAATGTGGTCAGTAAAAAAAATTATCTGGGAGATGGCAGGGAGGTGTAGTGCTGTCCAGTGGCAAGCAAGTACAGAAAGTCTGCCTTTGGGGGTCAGATTTGGAACAGGTTTTGGCTCTGAATGGGGCAAAGGTTTGTCCTGGGTCAGCCCAGACTGCCAGGAGCAGCTCAGTTGCCTTTTGTGTCATCTCCAGACCCCCGCCAGCAAAATCTCAGTGTCAGTGTTCATATGTGGGGCTGTCTCCTACCCCAAAAGCATGGGGGGGTTGATATTTTTTGATGGCTTTAAGCAGTTTAAATTATTTAGAAACCCATTTGCTGATTATTTAACCCTTTTTGATACAAACCTAAGCATACACATCTGACTCTGACTTGCCAATGCATTTTCCTACAGGATTGCTTTGGACA